TTATTTCACTGAGCATAATGTCCTCCAGCTCCATCCATGTTGTTGCAAATGGTAGGATTTGTTCCTTTCTTATGGCCGAATAGTATTCCATTATATATATGTACCAACTGTTCTTTATCCATTCATCTACTGATGGACACTTAGGTTGCTTTCATAACTTGCAATTGTAAAAAGTGCTGCGATAAACATAGGGGTGCATATGTCTTTTTGAATCTGAGAAGTTGTATTCTTTGGGTAAATTCCAAGGAGTGGGATTCCCTGGTCAAATGGTATTTCTATTTTTAGTTTTTTGAGGAACCACCATATTGCTTTCCACAATGGTTGAACTAGTTTACATTCCCACCAGCAGTGTAGGAGGGTTCCCTTTTTCCACATCCTCACCAGCATTTGTTGTTCTTAGTCTTTTCGATGCTGGCCATCCTTACTGGTGTGAGGTGATATCTCATTGTGGTTTTAATTTGCATTTCCCTGATGATTAGTGATGTGGAGCATCTTTTCATGTGTCTGTTGGCCATCTGAATTTCTTCTTTGGAGAACTGTCTCTTCATATCCTCTGCCCATTTGTTAATGGGATTATTTGCTTTTTTGGGTGTTGAGGCGTGTAAATTCTTTATATATTTTGGATATTAATCCCTTGTCGGATATGTCATTTACAAATATATTCTCCCATACCGTAGGATGCCTTTTTGTTCTGTTGATGGTGTCCTTTGCCGTACAGAAATTTTTCAGTTTGATGTAGTCCTATAAGTTCATTTTTGCTTTTGTTCCCCTTGCTCAAAGAGATGCGTTCAGGAAGAAGTTGCTCATGCTTATATTCAGGAGATGTTTGCCTATGTTGTCTTCTAAGAGTTTTATGGTTTCATGACTTACATTCAAGTTTTTAATCCATTTCGACTTTACTTTTGTGTATGAGGTTAAACAATAATCCAAGTTCATTCTCTTACATGTAGCTGTACAGTTTTGCCAATACCAGTTGTTGAAGAGGCTGTCATTTCCCCATTGTATATCCACTAATAATTGATTTTAACACATCAACTAGAATCCAGAAAAATTCTTGTGTTGCCCAAGGTTCATTGAATGAGTTATGGCAGGACATAGCTTAGTGCAAAGAGTTCCTAAGAACTAAATTTCTCTAGAAAAGTTTACTTAATAATGTTTCTGTTCATTCATTTATATATTATCTTTTTACTAAATGCTCGAAAAAGCTGTGAAAGTGGTTTAGGACTATTATAGGCTGTTATTTTCTTTCTTTTCTTTTTTTTTATAGGCTGTTATTTTCTTTTGAAACAGTAAGTTAGAATATCCAAATATAATTGTAACCAAAGATGGGAGAGTGGAAAGTGGATTCAATTTAGAACCTTAAATGAATCCTGGCTTTGTGTCTTGGCCTACTGCTCAACAGTGATATAATCTTAAATTAGTCACTCATTTACTTCTCTGCCTCCAGTTTTCTAGTCTGTAAGATCAAGGAATTGGGCCACATAAACACCTAATATATCATGTATGTCCAAAATATCATGATTTATTATTTAGACCCATCAGTTCAACACTTTTTTTAATACCAATTATATACACATTTGTTATGGACTCTACTCTAGGCAGTATTAAATACAAATATGATAAGAGTAATTATTATTAAAGCGACATCTCACATTTACTCAGGGTCTCCTAATGTACCAAAGAGAAAATTTACCTTGGGTCTCTGAAGTTCTCTTTAGGAGATCTGGACACATCTTCACAGAATGTTAGAGGAAGAAGAACCTATTCCAAAAGAACAAACAGAACCTTACTCTTAGGAAACACAGGAGATCATAACCAGGTAGTAAGGAAGAGTAAGGAAGAAGCGTTTTTTTGCCCTATCAGCTGCTTCACTTTGCCTTAAAAAAAGCAAAACCAAAAGCTTTTTTTTCTGATTATAAGAATAGCTATTATAGAGAATTTAGAAGTTCTTTAAAGTATTAAAGATGGAAAAAGTATCATATATCTGATTTAATAGCCTGCTTTGACTTACCTAATATTTTAGTATAATTTCTAAAACATTCTCAGTAGAGACATTTTAATTGATTGTATATAAGTCTGTCTTTTTGGTGTATAGTGATCTGCATATGTTAAATTGTTTACGTTGTTGACAGTTTTTATATTCTAAAGAACACAGTGATAAATAGTTTTGTTAATCAAAAAATTGTACATTGGACACATGATTTCCAACTGTAATATTTAAAATTCAGGAAGACAATTTCAGAAAATCATATACTTTTGACCTTTAGCTTATTTGATTCTGTCAATATTGCTTGGAATATATTTTCCTAGATTTTGTTCTGTTTCTAAACGTTTATTAAGAGGAACTGTTTGCCAACCCTTCAGTATGATATATTTGAACTGGAAATAGCACCAATGTTTTCATTTTTTTTCAAATAGTCATATGATAAAATTTATGGTAAATAAAATAAATAAAATTTACTTTCTGTGGGCAATAGCTTCTGGCGCAGAGTTTTTTGTTTAGAAAGTACTCTACAAATATTTAATCAATAAAAATATTCAGACAGATTTAGGATAAGCAAAAACATTTAAGAAGGATGTTAAGAAAAAACACACTTCTCCATTTATGAGAATCACTTTCATTTTCATTAGGAGAGATGACAGCTAAGCACAGTACGGGAATTCTGACCACTAAATGTAAACTGAAATGAAGTAAGGCGTTGCTCTCATTCACCAACATGGGAAACCACGACGCTAACAGTTACTTGATTAAATGTTAATGAGGTCTGCAAAATTGACCCAACTCTTACTTTTATGTTGTTAGACTTACATCAATTAAAACAAGACCAGTTTTACCTCTTTCTCTCTTTAACATCTTAGAGTCAACATCTGCTTACAAAGGAAGTGCTGTAACTACCCTGGTTACTTAAATATTAATGACATCCATTAAAGGGGGCTGGAGGCTGCTGCAGGAAGAGTGAAAATTAGTTGCCATGGTTAGTTTTGTCTTGCCTCCAGGAAAGAACTTCTTACGGAAAGAGCTTCATCCAGTATTTTTTTAATACCACAGTTTTTTTTTTTCCTGAATCAGTGAGAGAGTAAGATTATTGATTTCTAGTATTCCTTGAAAGTAGTATGAGTAAAACATCAGCATAACAGGTTCACATAATTAAAAGAAAACGTTGATGCATGCCATCATGGTTCCTGGACCTAATTTCAGCTCCTAAATGTATTTTGTTCCTTATTTTAGGCACAAGCATTTTTTTTCTTTTTCTTCAGATTTGCGCTTGCTTTACAGTGGTGTTGGGAATGTGGGGGAGAAGAGAACACTTCAGGCAGGCAAAAGCATTTTTTTAGGTACATTCTGTGTTTGGCTGGGCTTTACATGAAGAATGGGGAATTTTATTAAGTTTACCATGAATGAAGTGACAAGTATTATATATTCAATCAAACTGTAATGATAAACTTTTGTCTTATTGGGGAAATATGCCTGAAAAGCTTTTTAAATTTGCTACAACTGGTATTTGAATATTATCTCAAATTGGGTTGTGTTAGGCTTGTGGTTAATAGAATTTTACACATTTGTGTTTTTAAGATGTTTTAATGGCTTGGCATTTTAAAGCACTGAACAATCAAAAGCATTATATTTGCATAATTGTGTATGTCTTTTTGCATCCAAAAATCTGAGTGAGCAGAGTATTTACTCATTTCACGTAGTTTACTTTGACTCCAAAGTTAGGAATGTGGATCATTCTTAAATAGCAGTAGCTCAGAATAGTGTAATAGCACAGATGTAAGTACCATATGCCAAGGGTCAGGACTGAGGTGAAGCAAGCAAAGCTCCTGCCTTCGGTGTAAAACATAAGAGAGTGCCAAAAAGAAAAAAAAAAACTGCAATAATCAAGATAAATAGTACTTCAGTGCAATACTTTAAAAAAAAATCAAAATTCAGGCAAAAAAAATCCATGATGAATGAAACATCAAAATTTAGAGAAAGATGTGATCTGATCCTATGTCTGCATCTGGCTCACATTACCCCAGTCCTGGCCCTGACCAAGTGCAGCTATGTTCTAACGGATAAGGCAGTCCTTTGAGTCGAGTTTTCATTATCTAAAATTAGTGATAGCAATCCTTATTTTCCTGGCTAAGTTATTAGGATATTCAAAACAGCTAAATAACATAGGAAGGCCCATTATAAATACAATTTGCATGTTTATTTACAAATTTAGGGAAAACATACAATTATAAGCCATTAGTATTATCAGCCTAGATGAATACTCGAAGCAAACAACAGATCGGAAGATCCTTGGAGGGCTTTGTGTTTATAAAGTTTGAGGCCTAATTCTTAATTTGTTAGCTAGCCATAGGGGCAGAGACCTGAACATAGCTGTAGGACCATCCCTCTCTTCTGTTTTGTTCTTGGATGCAGTTTAGTGATTTGTGAGAGAGAGGTGGTTAACCAGAAATCCATTTTGTTTTAAGCTTCCCTGCAAAGTGCCCACTGGACAACTGAGGCCTCACTTTTGCTCAAACTACCCCACCCACCAGGATGCCTTTCCTGTTTCACTTGGTTTTCTGAGTCCCACCCACCTTTTACCCGCCTCTGACCATGGGAAGGACCTTCCTAGGCTCTCTCAGCCTGAGACTGTTTTCAGGCCTCTGCCCTCCTGTGTGGCTCACTGTCCGTACCACTCCTGTGGTGATCAGTCACAGGGTCCTTGTTGTCTTGAGGCTTTATCTAAGCGTGCATTAGATTTACTTTCCAGACCACCATTTTAGAAATAAAAATTGCTTCTCCAGTGACATTGTCAATCCCTTGAACATGGCCTCCCCCTGGACTTGTAACTTCAGGGGAGCAGGGGTTAGGTCTGTCTTATTCAGGTGGTATCCAAGGTGCTCAGCAAAGGGCCTTTACACATTTTTTTTTTCTTAGTGCAAAAGTGAATGTGTTGTATGTAAAAGAGATAGGTAAATATTTACTCTTTTGATTCACTTGTGGAATGTTACTGTTTCCATCCTAGGCCTAGAGGGACTGGTTGGTGCCAGGTGGAAGGTGACTGTTTTGCTGCTCCTATTGATGCCCAGCCCTGGTGGTGAAGGGTTATTTTGCTCCATGTACAAACATAACCAGACTTCCAAACCACATAAGGGGGATGTAGGACAGCCATTGTTTCTTATTCACTATATTGAAGCTGGGAACTCTGCAAAAGGTAAGTAATTAAATCAGAAAACCACTGGAATACTTTCAACAGTTTTTTTTTTTAAGCAATTATCTTACAGGATCCAAAATATATTCTGGTATTTTTACTCAATTGTTTTATTTCAACTATTAATGATTTGATGTCATGTATTATCAGAGGTTTTGAGCTAAAATGAGAGTTCATCAGGCACAGATTGTCTAGTGGTGGAGCCCCTGTACCTCTGCTTATAAAACTAATATTGTGCCTGCCCACAACGGGGCACTTAGCACAGTTAATACTAACCTTAGAACTTCCTCTGTATCAGGTATGGTCCCAGGCAGTCTACATAAACTCATTTAAGCATCTCAACCAAGGGAGGTGTATCCATTTTACACACAAGAAAAACTAAAGCAGAAAAAGATTAAGTTACTTGCCAGAGTCACACAGATATCAGCTGGTAGATGCAGGAGTCAACACCCGGACAGCCTCACTCCAGGGTCTATGCTCACAGCCGCTGTGCTAGACCCCCTTCTCCCACAAGTTGCCCAAAACTTTTAGGCCTCCTTTTCCTCATTAGTAAGATGGAGATAAAACAACTTACCGAAGTCACAGGGATGTTATAAGACTCAGATGAGAAAATGCACGTGAAAACTCTTTATAGCCTGTAAATTGCTCTTGGAATGTTTTTTTTTGTTTGCAAATGGCTTTTATTTAGAGATGGTGGGGCTTTTCTATTATTAGTATTAATGGGAAAAAGTTGTCATTTGATGTCATCGGAGGCAAAATTTATGACCTGCCTCTGCTCTGAATGCTTCTTCATGCTTAGGTAAATCACCATGTAGATAAATTGCTTAATCATCCTGGACCTCAGTAGGCTCCTGAACTATAAAATACTATATAGTCAGTTTTTCTGAGGAGCTCTTCGTAAAGGAAGCTGAGCAATGGTGTGGCAGCTAGAGAGAACTATGGGGTCAGGAAGGGTCTTTAAGAGGATAAGAGATAAAGTGTTTGCTCAATGTTATGATCCATCAGTGGAGGGGAAAGTAAAGTTGACTGGGGTGGGGGCAACTATTTCAAGAGCACTTTGTTTAAGTAGGTGAGAGGCACGGAATCTGGCACATAGAGGGAGCATTGGTGCTTGCTTCAGAGCACCAAAGTTTATCCTTATTCACAAGTGGGAAGTCGAGTTAAATAGATCTCAGTAGGTTGGTAGATGTCATGGAAGTGATGACAGTGGAAGTGACACTGGAAATTTCAGGGAAATGATCATTTTAAAGATCAAAAATAAATCAATATACACTCTATGGAAATTTAAATTGAGGCAACATTTCTTTACCTGAAATGTTCTCATGCCAGGAAAGTGTCATCATTTTTTTTTATGTTTTTGTGTTTTTTATTGAATACACACTCATCTAGCTAGTTACTGAAATTTTAAATAAAATTTATGAGATTTTCCCTCAAGGTCACGCTTTTTAAAGAAACCTTTTCACTTGGGTCTTCATACTTCTACTGATTTCCAAATACAAAGTTGGAAGCTACTGATTTCCAAAATATATAGGCATGTAAACATTTGTTTTGCTTTATTTTTACAAGTTTGATTTTCCTCTTTATTTCTGCCCTTTAATTTTTGCTTTATTTTGTTTTCCTTTAAAATTGTCGATTTCCTCTTTACCCCTACTACCACCTTCAGTCAACCCACCACAGGAAAGCAGAACCCAGGGTACCAATCCAGAAATATGCAGTTGTGTAGATAAAAGATGAGGGCTACGGAGGAGAGAAGGGACTGAGCATGAGCCACTCTGCTGGCACACGACTGGAGAAGCTCTGGGCCTGCTGCCACTGCACTCTTATTTTAAAGCCCTTATTTTCCCCAGAAAGAAATGCTAAAGTGTGTATCCAGAAGGAAAAATGCTGAAGCAAGGAGGGAGCCAGAGCAGCTGGGGGTTGGTAACATTAATCAAAGTCCAGCCCAAACTTTTTTTTTAAGCAACAGGAAGTAGATTCATTCTCTTATAATCTCCCTGTCTCTCTCCTCTCCTCTCTTCTCTCTCTCTCTCTCTCTCTCTCTCTCTCTCTCTCTCTCTC